AAGGGGGTGGTTTTCACTAAGTACCTAATAAAGATAGACTTCCTAACTTATTTATCCATGGAACGCTGCGTGTGTATGTGTGTATGTGTGTGTGTGCGCGTGCACATGCACATGTGATGCTTCTGTTACCAACCTCAGAAATTCTGCTCAGGAGATGCAGCTTTATGACTTCTTCAACTGGACCATTTCCTTAAGGGTGAGACCATTACCAGAAAGTATGTTGTTAATCAATGGCTAAGTCATAGATCCCATGTGCAGGGCTATGAGTGCAACCATGAGTGGTTAAGTTGAATTAGACTTAAGGTACCTCTAGTCAACTTTGAGGTCAAAACTCCCACAATGAAAAACTTCTGAAGTTCTGCAAAACCTATCTGGACTTCTGACCCAGAGACATCTTGCATATTTTCCTTAAAAATAATTAAGTAAATGGCCATGCCAAGTTTTAGCTTTTACTCTTTTCATCTCTAGGTAAGTAACAGGTGCCAGAAATAGCTTCTCACCATTACATTTGTGTGACACATTTCTGGGTGATCTGCATGCAGTATAGTATGGATAAGGAGCAGAAAAACCACCTTTTGAAACTGATAATTTTCCCACAAATGATATTTTTGTAGGCATAATATTCTTGCCAATGATTTTATTTATGCTTGCTGTGAATCTCCTAGGTATTATATGAGTGAATAAGGTAAAAAGGCAATATGATTCAGAAATTCATCCCCAAACCATTTGCTGATCATTTCCTATGTGTTGGTTGTTGAAGGTACAAAGGTCCAGTTCTAGAAGCTGAAAAAAAAAAAAAAACTATCAAGGAGATTACTGTTCCTCTGCAAAGACAAATCATAATTTAAAAGAAAAACAGCTACCAAGGAATGTCTTGCAGTTTAAAAAGCCTGGTATGTGGTAGATGCTCAATAAATGTTGAGTGAATTAGTAAATGAATGCACAGTGGACTAACATGGACAGCATTTGAATGCATGTCTGGACATAGCAGGATAGGGCTACACGAAGAACTGAGAATGGAGAGGGACCTTGCAAATGGGAACCCTCAAATGGACATGTTCTAGATGCATGGGGAGAATAAGTGGAAAGCTTAAGTGAGTAGGGTAGCAGAAGGAGAGAGCTTTTAAGGGCAAAGACTGGACATGTCTGACAGGAGCATGGAGTTTGGGTTGGGACACAGCTTTCCATGTTGGACAGTTACACTGGGAAAAGATTTAGAAGAACATTAAATGCCATCTTATGGACCCAAAATTTTATCCTGAAGGTAAAAGGAAACACAGAAAGAAGCTTTGACCTAAGGAATGATAGATGTAGGTTTGTTTTTTGGAAGAAAGTTGCCTTATCATGGATCACAAGGATGGAAATATCCATTAGTTAAATATTGAATGAAAGGACCCCTCTCAAATCAGAAGTCCTCGGGAATATAGGTACAGGTCAATGCTTCAGGATTCTGTACAGGCAAGGAATTGAGTAGATAGTGCTGGAGAGAAGCAACTCTGACATAAGACAGACTGATTTTTCAGTCTCTACCGCTTAAGAGCTGTGAGATTTAGGGCAAGTTACTTAACCTTGCCAAACCTCAATTTCCTCCACTGCAAAATGGGAATAAGGTTGATGGTCAGGATTAAAATAGAAGATGAATGTCAACTGTTTACAAATTACCTGATTCATAGTAAATAGTCAAAACTTGATCTATTAACATAAAACTTGAAATCTCAATTGACATCTCATCCTCTCAAATGGCTCTTGTAAGAAGATAATGGATTAGTGAATCAGCTTTGAAGATGTTAATCCCTCAGTCTCCCTTCCTGTGAGATTTTAGAACGTGTGTTGAGGGAACGTTGAAAGTCAGAACTAATATTTGGTCTCTTTCATTAATATTTTTGCTGTATTTGAGCACGCATAATTGTATGCTGCGGGGATTTAAATTTTTGTGACATCAAAGGCCTATTTGTGTCCAGCCTACTTCTTGGTATCTTAACTCAGTTTCCATTTCCTGGTGACAAAAGTTAGAGAAAGGCAATGCCAACTCATTCTCAATGTCCTGCTTTAGAGACTTGTCCAAAGTCACACAGCCACCAGCCAATGAAGAAGCAGGTCCTAGAATGTAGGTTTTTCCTTTCCCAGACTGGTGTCCACTCACATCCACAAAATGGCTTTCTTCAGCCCTACAAAAGTGTGCCAACCAAGCAGTGATACTAATATGAGAACAGGTACTGAAGCAGCTACTTGAAGAGGTACAGGAATACATAGGTGCTTCCTGGCATGTGGCAAATATGTAGTGTTCACTTTCCAAATGAGTCAGATACACATTCTTATGGCTTCATTCCATTTTTGCATTAAATACAAAAAATCTTATACAGCAACCCACATGCAAATATTTGAAATGGTGCTTTTCAGCTTGCAATGTCTTCCCTGAACCTTCTAATCAAACAACCGGAATCGGTGTGGAAACAGCATAGAAAGCTTTTGTAATTTTGTATCAGAAATTTCCAAGCTGTGTGCCACCTCGTCAGGGGATCTCATCCTGAAATCAGTACTTCCCCAGCTGACACCGAAGACTTTCCTCTGAAAGGACAGCCCCACGTTGCAGAGTACATGCCTAAATATAGATCATATAGGTGCACCTCTCTCGATCCCTGTTAGCTGAAGTCATCAAACACGGGCCCAAAGTAACACTCAATGAGTTAGTCTTGGTTTGGAGTCAAAAGTTACATCTGGCCTCATGGCTTTGCAACTGCCCATAAAAATTAGGAATTATTCCATAAATAGAATGCCATTTTATGAAGGCCTCATGATGCTGTTACTGACACTAAGCACTGAAGCTAGTTCAAAGTGCACCTCCTACTTCAAAACTCAACTTAAATGTCCTCTTGGTAAGAACTTCCCTGCCTAGTCCCAAACTGCTCTGCAAGTGCTCCTCCATTCTAATAGTTTGCATGTTTTACTGTGTGTTGATGTGTTAACACATTGCTACCACCCAAAGCTGTAGTTCATGTGGAGGTAGGAATTGTCAAATTCTCTTTTCTGGAGGCCAAGGGGCATCCAGCTTTGGGGAAGTCCCCGCTCTTTGGGTGTTGGAGCAGATGTGGCTAGGAAGATAGGGAAGTGAAGTATGAAGTGGAATGAGGTAGAAAAGCTAGGACAGAGGCAGGATGGGTGGAGAACAGGAGAACATTTCCAGGGACTGTAAGCTCTCTTGTAGTGGCTTAGAGGCCAATGTAAAGGAGAGGCTGGACTGAAGACAGCCCCTTTATACAAATCTTGCTCTCGACACTGCCCAAAACAAAGCAGTTGCTGATAACTGTTCACCAAATAAACAAATGAATGAATCTTAGAGTCTTGTAAGAGTTCATCTACATATTCCAATAATCTGTGTCTCAAAGAGTAATTTGGCCATCCTCTCTTTTAGCTTTTTTCGTAGCCTGGCTTGTTTGCAAGTTATGTATCTCTGAGTCCCCCGCCAATCAATGATTACCCCAAAGGGACAGTCACAGAGTCCTAGCAGAGATCAGACTATCCTGCACAGGGTAAGCGCTCCTTAAATACCTGTGGGGTTGCATGGAATAATACCAAATTTAGATGAATTTCTTTTCAACACAAATTGGTTTAGTGGCCCCCCCAAAAAATAGTTTAGTTTTAGATGAAGGGTAAAAATAGAGACATAAAAAATGAATAAGCACATGAAATGATACTCAACATCACTAGTCATTAGGGAAATGCAAATAAAAATCACAATGAGACTTCACATCATTAACATGAATATTATAAAGAAAGACAAAAACGAAGACCACAAAGAAAAAAAATCCAAAAAGTAACAAGTGTCAGTGGGGATGCAGAAAAATTAGAACTCTCTACGTTACCAATGGGAACATAAGATGGCATGGCTGCTGTGGAAAACAGTACGGTGATTTCTCAAAAAGTTAAAAATAGAATTACCGTAGGAACCAGCAATTCCACTCCTGGGCATATACCCAAAAGAATTGAGGGGCGCCTGGGTGGCTCAGTGGGTTAAGCCTCTGCCTTTGGCTCAGGTCATGATCCTGAAGTCCCGGGATCGAGTCCCACATCGGGCTCCCTGCTAGGCAGGGAGTCTGCTTCTCCCGTTGACCTTTCTCCACTCATGTTCTCTCTCTCTCTCTCATTCTCTCTGTCTCAAATAAATAAAATCTTAAAAAAAAAAAAAAAAGAATTGAAAACAAGAACTGGAAGCGATATTTGTGCACACATGTGCACAGCAGCATTATTTGTGATAACCAAAAGGTGGAAATACTAACCCAAGTGTCGGTCAACAGATAAATGCATAAACAAAATGAAGCGAACATACAATGGGATATTATTCAGCCCTAAAAAGGAAAGAAATTCTGACACATGCTACAACATGGATGAACCTTATAGATCTTACATTAAGTTAAAGAAGTCACTAAAAGACCAGTATTATATGAGTCTACTTATTTGAGGTACCCAAAGTATTCAAATTCCTAGAGACAGAAAGCAGGTTGTCAGGGGGGGAAATAGTAAAGAATAATGAGTTATTGTTTAATAGTACAGACTTTCAGTTTCAGAAGATGACAAAAGTTCCAGAGATGGATGATGGTGATGCTTGTACAACAAAGTTAATGTACTTAATGTCCTTGAACTACACACTTAAAAATACCTAAAATGGTAATTTTATGTTATGTGCTTTTTACCATAATAAATATATATAACCTATTAGCAAGATTTTATTTTTTAACAAATTATTTAGACCTTTATTTTTTTTATTTTATTTTTTCAGTGTTCCAAGATTCATTGTTTATGTACCACACCCAGTGCTCCATGTAATTTGTGCCTCCTTAATACCCACCACCAGGTGAGATTTTAAAAAATTGATTAATCACTAAATTCTTAGAGGTTTACCACTTTAGATATCTCTCTTTTTATCAATTTTAGAAAAAAAAATGACTAATGAGCACCAAAAAACGTACAACCACACACACATACATACACACAAACACCTCAACCACAAACACACACAACAGTAGTTTATAGCAAGGCTTTTTTTGTAAGCCGGATTGCTGACTCTAGTAATAGAAGCTAGAATAACATACCTCCAAGTCCTCTCAAGGAGTTAGCTTCCAAAGGAGCAGGCAGGCTCTAGTCCCTCCCCATTGCAAAGGACTGACTCCTTCAGCCCCTTCCACATCCTTTGAGAATCATGGACTCAGAGCAGAAATAAGACTTTCTGTGAAGTATTCTGGTCTCTGAGAGAAAAGAGAAGTTTCTCTTCCTCTCTTATAATAGACTCTCCTTCAGTAAAACTCACTCACAAGCAAAGAGAAGGTAGAGAAACCTCTTACAGCTCACCTCCCCACACAGAATCTTGATGGACCCTGCACATATCACAATTAGACATCTGGCTCTGCCCCCAGACAATCCTGGATACTGCGCCTAGATCCTCGGTTCAGATCTACCCAAGAATTCAGAGAAGATCTGTGCTTTTGATCAGCAGGTTTAACGAACAAATAAATCAGCACACAGAACTGGAGACTGGAAAGAAGGGCCCTTCAGTCCCTGGTTCCTTCAGAGGCTTCCCCCTCCCCTTACCAACACTGTCACCTATTCTGCAAGGTCCAGTTCAAGTGTCACCTTGTCCCTGAGCCCTTCTCCCAATTATTCAAGTCCTTGGGGATTTCTTCTCTCTTAATTCCTAAATAATGGACTTACATGTCCTTCAGAAAGAAGGTTTATAAAATAGAGTCTCTTTACACCTTTTTTTTTTTGAGTCCTTGCACTATGTGGTGTTTGGTCCTCAATTACACAGTGATGTTGTGATTAAAGCTTACTGCCCTATCTTCTTTTCCCCACCCATTTGACACCAACTGCATCACAGGATATTCTCAGGAATTGGTTAAGCTACTGAAGTACTTCAACAATAGCTTTATTGGGTAGAAAGACAATCTCTTCAATAACATTGTCTTTCAGCAGATCTTGGTACATAGTAAATGCTCAATAAATGTCTGTGAACTGGCCATCTTGTGAAATCCAGAAGTAGTAGTAGCTCTGAATATCTCTTCTGTGTCCATTAATCAAGTAAGAGGCAAAAGAAGGATTCTCAGGAACCAGCCCCCAGAGTAGAGGCGATTCATGGGCTCCTCTGAGGGTCAGAATTGTAGATGACTTTGACATAATTGACCAACACAGTCTCTATTCAAAAAGGAAAATTAAGTCCAAAGAAAGACAATGGTTGATCCAAGGTCACGCAATGAGTTAGTGATAGCCCTAAGCCCGGAGCTTAAGTCTCAACCATAGGATAAGTGAGGAATTTAGACAAAGAGTTAGAAATAGTCCATTTGAAAATGTCTTTCTTTGATGTCAGAGAAAATTTCTCACTGAGCTTTTGCACTGGGGACATTGTACATTGACAGGGCTATATCCTGCCTTTTACAAAGTTTCCATCTAAAATCATTGTAATTCCAGAAAAAAAAAATGTTCAAAAGTCACAGAAAGTGGAAGAAAAGTGGAGACCACCCATCTTCCACAGTATGGTATGGTAATTTCACTCCCTTACAAATTATTAAAAATATATCTCTTATTCAAGTGACTTCTACTGAGCACCTATAAGATGCCATGTTAGGTCGGGGGATCCAGCAATGAATTAGGCAAGGTCTCTGTCCTTGAGAAGTGCTGAAGATAGGCAAACAAACAAGTAATCTCTAAACTGTGGTAGGCACAATGACAGATGTTTATAACGTGCCTCAAATATTTTCAGGTAGGCAGAGAGGAGGCATAAAATAAATATTTGTTGAATGAATGAATGGACTAATTAATTAGACTTTGCCTGAGTTGTTTAGGGAAAGATTTATAGAAGATTTACATTGACCCTAGGCCTTTATTCATTCATTCAAGTGATCATTTATCCAGCTATTGAGCCCATGATTTGTGACTAGGCACTGTGATAAGCTCCAGATACAGGGATGAATAAAGCAAGGCCCTTGAACTTAATTATAGATCAGTCTAACAACTAACATTTTATTCTAGATATCTAGTTCTAATCTCTGCGTGTTCCATTAAAATGTCAGTTCTCTGAAGACAGGATCATTCTCTTTCTCTCTGCCACATTTGAAACACCTAGAACAGCACCTGGTACCCGGTAACGCTTTCATAAATACTGAATGCCTGACTGAATGAGCAGGTGGGTAGTACATCGACAATCCTGTGGGACCACAGAGAAGCAGCATCTTGTCAGCAACATCTCAGGAGCACACAGAGGAAGAAGAATCTAAGAAAGAAGAAAGAAGGACCAGGTAGGAAGAAAATGAGAAGAATTCATCATTGTAAGAGCCAATGGAGGGGAGAGCTTCCAAAAGGAAGAAGTGATTGACTTGTCTTCCTCCAAAATCATTGTTGATGAACCCCCTTAGGCCCCTGGACCAGGACTTAGATGGGACAAGCCTGGAGCCTCCGGCATGAACTCTGAGGAAGCACTGTCAGCGTCTTTCCAGTGTAGGGTCAGCACCTGAAAGCAGCACCTCCTCAAATTCTGCATCCTCCATGACTAACTCACCCCAGCTCATTGAGCTTAGCACTGGGCTAGGTGCTAGGGCTCTAACTGTCAGTAAAACACAGTCCCTGGCCTCAAGAAATGCAAGATAATCATAGACAGACATAAGTGATTGCAATGATTACAATGCAGAAGGTGAGTTCTGAAGGTATAAGCAGAAGGAGCACGGGGAAATCAGGCAAAGAGGGTCTCCGTCAAAGCACGGGCTCAGAAAATGGGCTAAGTGCTTGAGCTGAGACTATGGGACAATCACAAACTCACAGAAGGAGACGGAGGAGCAGAATTCTCAGCGAAGGGTCAGCATCCACAAAGACATGGCTTGAAAGTACATAAAGCGTTTCGACATGGTGATGTGTGACAGCTGCAAGGGAAGGGAGACAGGCAGTATGTGCGGTTAGGAAGGTGGTCTCCCATTATGTGTCCTTTTAGACCAGAACTCCATCTTTATTTTTACAGTTATATTAGTATCTGGGGCCGTTTTCCTTGGAAATAGGGTGCTGCCTAAATTAATTGGGAGGCCATCAATCTGTTGGTCCTGCCTGGTCCTGGCCTCCCAGAGAACAGGGAGGAGGCCCCAACTGAGCCTTTGCTGCAGTCAGATGTATTTTTAGCCCCCGCAGAAAATAACAGCAGTGTGCATTTAATAAAAATATCAAGCCCTGGGAATGATCTAGTGCCAGTGCTGGAGCAATCAGGGACAGAATATGTTTCCAATTGAATTACTACTGTGGTCATAGTTATAAAAAGAGAGAGGGAGGAGAAAAATGTTAGGCTGGTCAGTTTCTCGGGAGCATTTAATCTCGGTTCGCTCTAATGTTAACGTTGGAAGACACATGAGCCAACTCTGCCCTCAGGAGTTATTTCAGGGGGACTGGCCAATACCGCAGCTTGGAGGCAAAGTGGGCAGCCCTGCTGCCTGAAGTTTCCTTCTTTTCTGTCTTCTTCCCTCCCACCTCCCCCTCTGAGTTTTGGCTTCCGCTTGTTCTGCTCACAAGCTGATGAGGCACAGTGTGAATAATTACGACGAGGGTAAATTTAGATTCTGACGAGGCTGAGGGATGTGGGCTCCGAAGCTGGGCTCCAAGAGCAAAGGAGCTACTGTAACACCAGAGAGAGCCTCAGGGGTCCTGAGCACGGCACTTCCCCATTTTGCTTCTAGAAAAGGAAGACTCCTTTGTTGAGATTTTCCTGATCTAATCACCATTTCACTCTGTCAGTCCCCTCACACCCTTCACCATGTCCTCTAGTAAAATATCATGGTTAGTCACCAACACCTATGGGGGCTTCCTTTGTGCCAGGCACTGGCTGAGTGATTACAGACATTATGTCCTTTCATCCTCACACTGACATTAAAAAACAGAAAGCATGAGCTCTCGGCTACTGGGGAGGAGGATGGAATTAGGACAGATTCAATCACTTTCCAAAGGTCACCTTACTAATAAGTGGGAGAACCTGGATTTGGGTTCATTTGAAAACTCATCTCCTGCTCTGCCCATGGTGTGACCCTGAGCTCCCAATCTGACCCACTTCTCTGGAACACTGGGCAGCTTCACACCCCCATATGTTACACATGCTGCTCACTCCCTGACATACCCTCCCACACATTTTCCTAGAATTATCTCCTAGAACGTCTTACTTTTTGTCCACATCCCTGTGGTATGTATCACCCTTAGTATTAGTTACAATCACTGTTATATATTCAAGTCATATTGTATGCCAGGCATTATTCTAAGTTCTTTACATGTATCATCTGATTTAATTACTGCAACATTCTTACAACAAAGTTACTATTATTATACCCTTTTCATAGAAGGGAAACTGATGCCTAGCAAGATTCTTGGACTCACCCAAGCTTACAGTGCTGGTAAGTGGTAGAACTGGAAAAATAACTCTCCTTAATTGAGTAATTACCATGTGACAGTCACTGGACTTAGCCCTGAACACTATCATCGCATGTAATCTTCACACCAATTTTTAACCCACTTTACAGGTAAGAAGGCTCAGGCTCAGGAGAAATTGCAAGTTAACTTGACCAAGGTCACAAAGCCAGGATGGGAGCTCCGGTCTGAGAAACGTCCAAACCCCTTGCTCTTATGCATAGCACTGAGTTGCTTCTTTATCTGTCCTTTAAAGGAAGTGTCCCTGCTTCAGAGACAAGGCCATGCATTATTCCTCTCCCACTCCTGGCACTGGTGCCCTGATGCACAATGGGCCTGCAGTAAGTGTTAGATAAGAGAATGAATAAACCCAGGGCATTAGCAGCCCATTTTGAACGTGATGTGTTAAAATGCACTGGGAGGAAAAAGGCAGAGTGGACAAGCTTATGAAGGAGAATCTTAGGACAGAGGACGCTCTCAAGGCATGCAATTCCTGCCAGCTGTTCCAGGCTGTCACATCAGAGTCACATGAGGAGAGGTCCAACCCTGTCCCCCTGGGGTCCCTCACTCCCTTCCCCTACCCTGCCAGAGCTGGCAGACTGGTACAAGGCCCTGACTCTAGGTCCAGGCTGTCTGTGGCACCCAATGGTAATGGCCGTCGCTCTTGGTTCTTCTCAGTGCTTCCTGGTGTCCAGCTGCCCAAACAGCCATCCCTCCCAGTGCCCCTTCCCAGCTGCTCTGCATCCTGCCTGTGGTCAGAAAGCCATAAGGCCTTTTGGAATAAAAGGTCAAAGAGCTGAATATGGAATTGCCCAGGGAGCTCCCAAGAGCAGATGGTGGCATCCCCAAATACATGGCCGCCTCTTGCTTACACCTGTCAGGTTTTGCCTTTCCTGCCTCTCTGCTAGGAGAGCTGTGTAGAGAAGCCTCTGAGCCAAAGAGAGCTGGCTTCCAAACCTGCCTCTTTCACCGTTTAGTCAGTAGATCCTGGACAAGCCATTAATCTCAATGAGCCTCCACGTCCCCATCAGTAAAATGGGTATAACATCTCCGCATTACGAACTGCTCAGACTGTCAGATGACTTCACGAATGAGAGGTAGGAGAGTACAAAGTTTAAGAAATGCTCTTTGCAGTAAAGGTAGAACTTCAGATCCACCTCAGGTGACCCACTGCCCCAGCTTGTCCAGGACTGAGACATGTCCAGGACGTGAGACTTTGAGTGAGAAGCCTGGGAAATTTCAAGGCAAACCAGCAGAAGTTGGTTGCCCTAGTCATCTACCACACAATAAAGTGGGATAATAAGTGCTTCCTCCTTACAGGACGGCCATGGGATCCTGTGACAATGCACGTAAAGTGCATGTTCTCATGTGCTTCTGTTCACTACACCTCCGCCCGGGTCTACCCATTGATCACAGTGCTGTTTTCTGAACAAGGGGTTGAGTCATGTTGTTCAACCAGACAGACGATAGCTAACGGGAAACCACACTTCCCTTGCTAAAACCCGAAAAGTTCTCCTCCCAGGACGAGTGACTGCTGAGTGGCCCCCAGGTGTCCCCAGAATCAGATTTCTGTGATGCTGAATTTAAGCTGACTTCACTCACCTGCTTCGTGCCAATCTGGTACTTTGCAGCTGTTGGCTGGGAGAACGCTCACTTAATGGAATGACTCAGGCCTTGAGCTGAGAGAATAAAAACAATAAACCAGTCGGCCTTTCAAGTTGCTCCCAAGAAAGATGGGTGGTAGTACAGCATCACTCATGGGTAGAATTCGTGTCATCCGTCCTGCTAGAAATGGACGGCCAAGAGGCCCAGAGCCTTGCAGACAGAAAAAGCTCAAGAAGAACATCCTTAAATATGTTGACTTTGAACTTTTGTTGACAACCTCATTTGAAATAATAAGGATTAATCATACTCTTATTTCAAATGTATTTGCCCACAGATATCTTTTATTAACATATCTTTTCTCCAAATGGTCAGAGGACATGCCAGAAAGCTCTTACTTTGAAATCATGACACCTGCTTACAAATTCCCATTCCACCCCTCCCCTCCACACACTACCCTTGTTTTATGTTAGCTTTGTGATCTTGTATAAGCCACTTGCCCTCTGACCCTCAGTTTCTTCCCTGTAAAGTGGAAACAATAATGTTTGCTCACCTACCTCACAGGATTTCCTTAGGACCAAAAAAAATCCTCAGTGTGGTAATCCTAGACACACGTTGTCCTGGGTACACATGTTGGAGCCATTTATCACTAACCATATTTCCTACTCATACCAGCGGTTTCATCAAGTGCTCACCCCCTGCACCTTTACTTCTCTCCTCCATATGCACCTAAAATCAGTCAGAAAGACCATAGAACAAGAATAGAAGGTGAGATCTATGGGTCAGACAGGCTGGGTTCACATCTAAGTTCCATCACTTATTGGCTACTTCCCTGAGTCTTCCTTGTCTGTAGAATGAAGATTGTAACATCTATTTTATGGAGTGTGAGCCATTCCACTAAAGATGGGCTCCCAGCAGAACCAAGGTTCCAACCAGAACTCTAGGCCCCCCAAAGCAGTGATGTGAACTTGAGCAGGTTAACTACCATAGGACTGATGGAATAATTCAGGAACCTCATTGTCATTTCCTAGGCAAGCAACTCCTGTGTGGTGGAACCTTGATTTTGACCTCATATTGAATATATATGCATTAATTATCTCCTACATGCTTAGCACATTGCAATGCATCAGAATGGAAAAAAAGATGCAGCAAGCACAAAGTGTACTGCTACTGTACAGCTCAGGATCTAACTGGGAAATTAAGTACATAGAGAATATGTATACTTAAGCCAGGGAACAACCCCAAGGAACTCTGAACCATAGAAGGATAAGATCTAGAATATTCTCTGAGGTCAACTTTCCAGATGAAGAAATTAAGATAAATACCTTGCTTTGATGACTAGCACATCCTACAGCCAACATAAGCAAACATGACGGAAAGAAAATAATGATAATAAAAATAATAAATAATCACAGTCACAGTAGTTAACACCTATGGCAGGCCCATCATGTGCTAGGCATTGCATTTAATTATTTGGACTACCATAGCTCTTTTAAGCCCCACAGCAATCTTCACGGGCTCTGTTTAAACACATAGGAATGGAATCTCAAAACACTCTTCTGAGTAAAAGAAGCTTATACAAAAAATGATTCACTTTCTACAAAGCTCTGGATTAGTAATCGATATAGTAAGAACATAAAAGCAGAGCTTGTCTGGGATATGGATGAGGGTGGGAGCAAGGATTGACAGACTTGAAAGAACTTTTGGGGGACCTGCTAATGTTATATATCTTATAAGGGGTTCTTGTTATGCAAGTTCATGAATCTGTCAAAATCAACAATGGTGGAGCTAAGATTTGTACATCTTAGCATAAGTTCCCCAAAACAGAAACAAATATTTAATTCTTGATAAGGATAAAAATGCTGAAATACTGATGGGAGAGTGTTCTGATATCTGCAGCTTACTTTGAACTAAAAAAAAAAAAATAAGGTAGATTGATGAGTGGATAGAGGCAGACAAATATGTAGTAATGCAAATAAGTTATAGTGAAACAATTACAGTAGAGTCTTGGTGATCAGCATGTGGCTGTGTTCAACTTTTCTATAAACTTGAACAATTTCACAATGAAATTAAGTTGCGGGGGACGGTAAATCCACAGAAGCATACATAACAAATTCTCATCCAAGTTATCTCAAGGAAATAAATGCAGCGAGCTGTTCTCCTATTGCTAAAGTGCCAGCATTGTTTAAGTTTGGGTCTGAAATGGCTGAAAAGCACATACATCTGGGTCAGCAGGAATATTTCAGAAAGTTCTTTCTGAGGAAAACCGGAGTCTTCTCTGAAGGAGGAACAAAGTCTCACCCTTGCTGAGTCATTCCTGAGCTGAGATCCAGGGGTGCTAGAGAATGAAAGTCAAGTACATGTGACAATGGGCTCAGGTGCCCAAGGGGAGGCTGACGTCACCAGAGGTTCATCTCTTAGATTATCAGAATGACCTGTTTGCCCAACCTGGAAAGGAGGAGGCAGCCAAAGGCTCCCTAAGCCAGCAGATGAGAAATTCGGTTCTGGCAAATGATGACTCCATTCTCCAGTGTGATCACATTTAGTCCTCCAGCTTGCTTTTATTTGGTTACTTATATTCACTAATCTGGTCTGGTCTCTGGGTAGCTCAGCCCTTCAGGGCCTTTGTTCTGAATGATGTAATTGGCCCTGTTTTCTTAAAACAAGAGCTATCAGGACTGCCTGGGTGGCTCAGCCGTCGTTAAGCGTCTGCCTTCAACTCAGGTCATGATCTCAGGGTTCTGAGATCAAGCCCCACACCGGAGTCCTTGCTCCATGGGAAGCATGCTTCTCCCTCTTCCACTTCCCCTGCTTGTGTTCCCACTCTCGCTGTGTCTTTCTGTGTCAAATAAATTAATAAACTCTAAAAAATTTAAAAAAAAATTAAAAATTTTAAAAATTAAAAAAAACAAGACCTATTAGTCCATGGGAAAAGCCCTGGATGTAATATTAGGAAGGCTTATTATGGATTCTGGAAATAACAGCTCTGGGACTTCATGTGAGTTCCTTAAATTGTCTGGACTCGGGTGTCCTGCAGCCACACAGGTGTTCTGCAAACACTGGATGTAGATTCACTATGACCTTCTCCTGGGAACAAGATCTCCATCATATTTTTGTCCTCAGAGGCTAACCTAGGGTCCTAATGCACACAAGGTTCTCAGTAAATAAACACTGCTCATCGGAAGTAAAGGGACAGCCACCTTACACTGTGAAGGCTGACAGAATTTGAATCTGGTTTGAGTTCTTTGCTGCTACTCACTGTCATCTCGCTGTATGTCAGACACCTTATGGGACTATTTTTTTTAAATTTGATTTTATTTTTTTCAGTGTTCTAAGATTCATTGTTTATACCCCACACCCAGTGCTCCAATTTTTAATCCTTCCCACATCTGTATGAGGTAGGCACAGTCACTCTCATTTGATGTTTTGGGGAAACTGAGGCAGGGAGTTGTTTATGCATTTGCTTTTTCTGGAACCCACCTCCTCACTTCCCACCTAGGCAATGGCTAATGAAATGCCATGACGTCCCCCAGTGTCACATCCCTTCCCTTCCCCATGAGAGAGGGTAGCAACAGCTTCATCCAAACTAGCGACATTGTGTCTTTTTAGAGCGATCTGCACATATTCTCTGTTTCCAGCCACTGGGCAGGAACAAAGAAACAAAGAAATGTACTCTTAATTGTGGGTCGGACCCCACTGCCAGCCACATCACACTTCTGGGTCACCCAAGCAGATGAGAAGTCCCTTGCTGGTGACACAAAAGGGCTGCAAGTCACTCAAAAGTGATAGCAGAGGGCCTTCAATACTGGAGCCTGATTGATGGAGGCACTGGGAGAATGTACGCTTTGCAGACCGTGACAAAACCACCCGGATCCATTCATCTTCCCTGACCGCAGCCTTTCTCCTCCCTGCCAGGGGGAAACTGGGCCCTAATGCAGAGCACAGCTACACCTGCCACATTCTGTTTCCATGGCTGTGGCTGCCTTGAGATTACACTTTGAAGAGGAAATAAAAATTGTTCCAGCAGAAAGGATGGTTTTTAATATCTTTATCCTTGAAGGATACATGTGACATGCAGGAAAAAGGGTAAATTGTGTTTGATGCCACAAACTTTACTCTAATAATTAAATCTCCTCATTTTTCAAAAACCACATGATCTTCATCTCTCCTGCTTGACGAGACATGGCATGGGTTTCTAGCAGTACCACTTAATCGCCCAGATTTTGCCACGCAGAGACTATCACCTTGATTCTTACAGTGACCTTGAGTGAGACACACACACCCAATTCACAGATAAGGGAAAGGGAGTTTATGTCTGAGTTCAGAAAAGGGTGCTTGGTGGGATTTAAATAGGCTTCATAATATGTCATAAGTAGTCAATGGCACTTAGATCAGTCACTCTGGGTTTGAAGTTCACTTAACAGCAGGTGACTTTGGGCAACTCACAGAAACTCCCCTTCAGCAGGAATGGGGATGATGCTAATGCCCTCCTCCCAGGACTGGTCTGAAGACTGAAGGAACTATGGGACAGTGCCTGACACATGGAAGGTATTCAGTGAACTGTTGGGGATTCTTTATGAAGAAGAGATGGGGGTACAAAGCAAACAGAATGCAAGCAGAAGGAGAGAACATCTAGGAGTAGCTGAGCAGGGGTTGGAATAACCCAGAGACAAGTCTGGACTGTATGTGGATGAGGAAAGATGGAGCCATTGCATGTTCTTGAGCAGAGGAGTGGCATGGTGAAAGGAGAGGTGTCTGGAGGCCTCCCTGGTCTCCAGGATGTGATGGTAAATTTTGGCATCACATCAGCTAACAAGCTGCAGCCAATATTTTTCTTCATTGTTGGATGCTTATAATTCTATAGTTTTTCTCCAAGTAGGGTTAGCCAGCAGCGGAATCCCCTGGGAGCTCAAGAAAATTACACAGTCCTTGGACCTGCCCAAATCTAGGAATCCAGGAACTCTGCATATAACACCCAGAAATTCACATGCTTCCAAAGGCTCAGATGATTCTTACTCACACGGCTGTTTGAAAGCCACTCATCGAAACCAAGGGGTTTCAAACTTGGAGTAAAGAGGAGTCCTCATCTGAACAGGCCATGTGACGGTAATCAGGGAACTGGGTTTCCAAGGACCATTCACAGTATAATAATAAACCCAAGATAGTTGTAGCACCCTTTTAAACTGCCAGACACCTAAAAATAAAATCAGCAAGGCAATGTGAGTTCAAGCCTCAAAAAAGCATCCAAAGGAGGAATTAATGACTGACCCCCTGCTACAGAGCAGGACTGTTTTTAGGCCTATAACTCTTGCCAATTCAGTGGCCTAGAGCATATCCCAATTTAAGTGCAGCTTTCAGAGTCCTGGAAAGTGACCGTGACTCTGGCCAGCTCCAGGATTTGAGGCCATGTTCCACAGCAGGCAGAGGGAGGCAGGAAGAGATTCAAGTCAGGTAAATGACATGGACTCCACATGTACCATGAAGCAGACAGTCCAGGTAACATGATGGATACATAGGTGAGAGAACCAAGGCCTGTTTCAGGAGGCTATAGTCTAGTTGATATGTGGCACAAGAATGTGGTATGATGTACCTTTGGAGGAGGACAAGGGAGCAAGTTTTTGGAGCTGCCCAGGATTGGGAGTTGTCCTATCCCCTCCTCTTTCACTTCCTGTGGCAAACAAGTAAAGTCAAAAGAGAGAGAGAGAGAGGAGAGGAGAGGAGAGGAGAGGAGAGGAGAGGAGAGGAGAGGAGAGGGGGGAAAAACTGATTAGGGAAGCAGAGAAAAAGAAGAGATTGATTCTAAGTAATTGGAAGGGGACTCAGTGGAGGAGGTTGGCAACCAAGTAGGATCTTTTTTTTTTTTAATTTTTAATTTTTTTTTAATTTCTTTTCAGTGTAACAGAATTCATTGTTTATGCACCACACCCAGTGCTCCATGCAATACGTGCCCTCCGCAATACCCACCACCTGGCTTCCCCAACCTCCCACCCCCCACCCCTTCAAAAACCCTCAGATTGTTTTTCAGAGTCCATAGTCTCTCATGGTTCATCTCCCCCTCCAATTTCCCTCAACTCCCTTCTCTCCATCTCCCCATCCAAGCAGGATCTTAATAGTAAGAGTGGGATTGTAAGAGGCAGAGGTGCAAGTGAGCATGTACAGACAGAGGAAATGTTACATAGTAAAGAAATACAGCTGGGGGAATTACTGAACACTGATGAAATGGAAGTATGGCTCCTCTTCCAGAAGTAGCAAGACAAGAGCCGAGAAAGAGAGATTGGGAACAACCTCTGAAAGCCTAGAATGCCAGACTAGGAAGTGAGGTTGTTATTTCATAGGTAACATGAAGAACTTTATTAAAATAACCTCGATGATAGAGTGGAAGGTGATTTGCAGTGCGAAGGCACAGATGCATTTGTTGGTATGCCTTACAGGTAGAATATGTCTGTACTTTCTTCTGGGCTGAGGTCCAGGAGAGAAGGACTATAACCTTAGAACACCTGTTTCTTCTTTGTCAGATTGGTTTGGAGGCAGGTACATCACTTGGCAGCTACCACAACTGTCTAGGCAGCAGAGATCAAGAAAGCCCCCCGATCCAGGGCATGGTCAGGGGACAGAAAGAACATGGTCAGGGGCCAAATAAAGAGATGAAAGAAGCCAAATTTTCCTTTTCTGTGTTTATAGCATTAAATGACTTTCCCAACCTAGTGCAAAGGCTATCTGACAGACTGATAGCAAACATACTCCGATTTCTATCTTCCCTGTTTCTGCACCACCTGCAACCTGACTCTACAGCTCCTCCCATGAAGAGGCGAAGGTGCCCATTGAATCTGGGCTAGCCTTATACCTTCCTTTGGAAAATAGAATGTGGAAGAACTGGGTCAGTTCTGAGCCTAGACTTCAAGAGACCTTGAACAATTCTGTAGTCTTAAGGAAACATGCCACCTCCTTGAACAGAAGCCCAGGCTAGCCTGTTGAAGAATGGGAGATATCCCATCTGATGGCATCCTATACCAGCCATTCCCCAGTTGGCCCACTAGCTGGCCTTTGCTGAATGAGAAGGGATGAGACTGGACAAGACCAGCCCAGATGAGCAGAACTGTCCAGCCCATAGACTAAGGATCAATCAATCAATAAATAGTTGGTTTGGTTTGCTTTGCTTTCAGTTTAACTGTTGTGCTGGTTTGTTAGACTGTTACCTGAAATGGGGGATTCAAGATCAGCATTCTTCATGGCCAAGGAAGTTGGACCCTCTCCAATGATTTATTTAGAAAAGAGGATTAGAAAGAAAAAGGAAAAGAATATAAAGAAAAAGAATATTAAGAAAAAGAATTTTTGAGTATCCAGCTGAAGAGGATTTGCTAAATAATATATTACTTTAGTCTTTCCACAAGCATATGGTCATTAGGCCCTTGGTATTTACTTCATTGCATGAGTGCTTGGTCAGTGGGGACCTAGGCCAGTTCTGCCCCTGCAGAGCTTTGGGATGTGGTCCCTTCATAATCTACAAAGTGCTTTCATATCCACTGGTTCATTTGATTCTTCCAACTCCAGCTCCTGGAGGAAGACATTCTCAGTAGCTTCCACTTACAAATAAGGAAATTGAAATCAGAAAGGTCAATTAATTTTCCAAAATTGTGCAACCAGTTAATAAACCCTCATGTCCCACTAGACTGGGAGCTCATTGTGCGATGATGGCCTCTTGTCCCAACTCCTGGGACCAGATTAAGAGATCATATAACTAGATTATAAAGCACAAATACCACGAATAAGATTCAAACTCACAGCTCTGATTCCAAGCACTCTGCCTGCTCTATTATATCAACTATGCCTCCCATGACTACTCTGAATCTTCCCTACACAAGTTCAAAGTTAGATAAAGAAAAGGAATTCATATTCTTCATATTGCCAGCTCCCAACTCTAATGCTAAATGCAGTAAGGGTATCTGCCCAATGAAGCTCCAATCTAAGGATTCAGACATGGTAGGATCCAGGTGTTCAACTATTTCCTTTCTTTCCATGTCTGAACTCTTCTTTCCTCCATGTGGGCTTCCTTCTCAGGCAGACTGTCTCAGCACGGTGGGTAAAACAAACCCTGACAATCTTGGACTTTCAAGATCCATTCAGTTCAAGATCTGAGAGACACTTTCTCTGAATATCCATGCTAATTCCAGACATTGGACTCTTGCTCTCTTATGTTATCTGCCAAACCGTGGACTAATTACACCATCTAGGAGAATGGAGTACTCTGATTGGCCATCTTTCTGTTAAGATGAACAAAGATAATAAATGCCCACCATATGCAATCAATAAATATTTCTGAATGAGTGAATGAATAAATCTTGACTCACAATGGCTCAACTATATCTCCACTACTAAGGGACAAGCCAACATTTTTTTTTCCCCCCTGCATTCCATGAGCTGAGTGTCATCTAACCAATAAGCCTTCCTGGGAAGCAAGATCTGGCCTGCAATTCTAGAGGCATTTGTACCCTGAGCATATAATTAAGTCAGATGCAAGTACAGCTGGTAAGAGCAGGAAGACATGCATAAACTCTTCAATCTAGGAGTGTTTGTGGACCCTATCATTACATTCCCCACATGGCAATCTGTCCCACTGGATTCTGTAAACTGTGAATCTAACTGTTCTCTAGCTGAAAATGTGAGTCCTCTACTGGACTATGATGTTCTTCCTCTCTCCCTGAACTGAAAGCCTTTTCAAATCATTACCAAATTTAAGATTTACAAGTTGTTGAGGGAGGGCTTGATCTAGGTGAATATTAGCATTGGGATTTGGGGGAAGAATAAGTTTTATATAGGAAAACTCTATTCCACTTACTCACTGTGTGATATTTGGCAGGTTACTTAACGTCTCTGAGCCCCAGTATCTACATCTGTAAATGTTAGTAATAAAATCTGCCTCCTATGATCACTGTGAGGATTAAGTATCACTAGGAACAGAACAGATGCTGTATGGTGCCTATAAGATGGCAAGCATTTGACAAATTCCAGTTCTTCTCCCCTTTATAGACATGAAATGATGACCCTACTTATTAAAGTCAAAACAAGGGGCATCTGGGTGGCTCAGTAGGTGAAACATCTGCCTTTGGCTCTGGTCATGATCTTGGAGTAGCGGGATGGAGACCCATGTCAGGCTCCCTACTCAGTGAGGAGTTTGCTTCTCCCTCTGCCCCCCACTCCACTCATGCTTGCTCTCTCTCTCTCTCAAATAAATAAATAAAATATTTTAAGAAATAAAACAAAGTCAAAACAAGACAAACAAATAAAACAAAAGAAAATGTCAAAGGATTACCTTTTAGAAATGGTTCTCTTAAAGCAAAAGCAAATTATATACCTAATTGTGTAGACTACTCATTTACGTGCTAGGTACTGCAATACAATCTTGAGTAGAACACAGTCTCAAAGCTCAGGAGTTTAAAGTCCAGTGGATCAGATTATCATCTGAGGAGGGATACTATAACTTGAAATTATAATTGCATTTTAATTGATGAGCACTGACCTTGAACCTGTGCAATGTTATTGATACCTTGTGCATTTCTATCCTTCCTCCAAAACTTCCAGATTGCCAAACACATGCAAATGCTTCTTTAACAAAAGAATTTGAAGGGAAAAGTGGAGATCAGAAAGGAAGTGGCTTTGTTTTGTTTTGTTTTGTTTTTTTCTGTTTTTCCACTGATTACCAATTTTCCTCTGAAGAAATGGTTGGATCAGGGATGACCAAGGCCTGGGAATCTGCCTTTAGCACAGCCACAGTGTTGCAGTTTTTCCCCTCCATGAACTAGATACTATAATATTTTCCCATCTTAATCTCATTGTGAACGCTTCCAACACATTCAAGGGCAGGGATCCTATTTTGTTCATCTTTGTGTTCTCTGCATTTAGCAATTGTTGGCACATCGTATATGGTCAATAAATGTCAATGATTTCAACAACAAGCATCTCTTTTTTCTCTGAAGCCAGCAAGTTGGATGGCCTGAAGTAGGCTTGGCTCAGCTCATCTGGACAAGACTGACTCACATGCATTGCTGGTGAGCTGGTGCGTCCGCTGCGGTCTGGCTGGTCTAGGAAACCCTCAGTTGAGGTGACTATGTTTTGTTTCATGCAGACTCTTGGAGGTGATGGGACCCTCTGGAAAACAATGGTTTAGGAGGACAGCATTGAACTTATTTAATGGCACCAAGAGATATCCTAAGAAAACCACTCCATCAGACAGGTACAAAGAAGAAGATAAGAAAACAGATGTTCTGATTCTATATGCTTTTGTGTTCTGCTGGAGGAAATACACCAGTTTTCTGGAGAGTGACTCAGTGATATGTGTCCAAATGCAGCCTGGCTGCTCATTTGGGCTTAAGATTAAAAGGTTGGGAAAAATTAGGCTAGGCACAGAGTGGCAGGGGAGGGAATAAAAGGGTAGAGGGTGGTGGGGTGGAGGGGGTGGGGGAGCAGGGATGGAGGGAATAGGCAGTGAGGAAGATAGAGAAGTGAGAGTCCCTCTTATACCTCTGTTCTGCAGTGTGAGGACACTTGGTGCCCTGGGACTGAGCCACGAGTCCCTCCCCACTTTCTGAAGAAGAGCAAAAAGAAAATTGGACAATTAAACACTTACGTGGGAGTGCAGGGAGAGCAAACCATGCAACCCAGACTGCTAGCCCCATTCTCTCAAGTGGATCGGGGTTAAAGCACAAAGCCCAGGGTAGAGTTCTGACCCTCTGGCAGGGAAAACAAGGATTGAAACTCGCTGAGCACTGAGCACAGAGGACAGATCATACCGAAACCATTAGGTGGGCGGGTAATGCAATGTTCAAATGGAACTGGATTTCTTAGCTTCGATTTCCGAAATCTCTGCAGGGAAAAAAAAAAAATAAATTGCCTCTGTTTTTCTTCTCTTCTCCTTATCTGTTCCCGTGTCTGGGATTGTTGGAGTTAGTATCAGACTCTCTGCAGTCTCGAATACGTCCTCCATTGTGTTCTTTCTGTGAAGAAAATTACAACTTGGAAAGGAAAGGGGGCGGAGAGGAACATTACATTCTAAACAGTCTCAGGGAGATAATTGCGAAGTCTCCTTCCCTCGCTCCTTGTTCCCCCTCCCTCCTTGGCCCCTCTGACTCTTCTTTGCCTCTAGGATCTGGCAAAGGGGAGCTGTGCTGCAGGTGGAGGGACGGATTTTCAGGTGCCTCCCTGTCATGTACCAGCTGTTTCTCCTCATCTTCCTGGGGCAGCCTGTACCTGCCTGGTGCTGCCCACAAAGGAACATTCAGGGGATTTTGTCTAGGGAAATGTGGAGTGATTCCTTTTTGTTCTTTTTCTTGGGGTCTAGGTTATCCCTGTCATACCTTCAACTGTCCACTTGGTCACGATTCAGTTCAGCACTCACTGCGCAGTTACTTCACTGTTTCAAGCATCTCTAAGTATTCAATATACCATTTATTGATTCTTTATTATGTGTCTAAAACCATACCAAGCATCGGCATCCTTGATTTCACTGAATCCCCAGAGCCATTGTAGTAGTCCTACTTCCTTTTCAGTGATACACTGGGTCCCAATGAATTCATATGTCCAGCGCTGCCATCCTTGAAGTCTTAAGGAAGAAGACAGACCTTAACTGGAGCTGGTTGTAGGGGTAGAAACCTACAATGAGATCAGGAAGGAGAGATTTTCAGGGGAGTGAAGGACTTGCCCGAGGCTACCTGGCTGTACTTGGAGGCTGGAGGAAGTGATTCCTGTAGCTCCTACTAACAGAGATTGAATGAATTGTGACTACCAGATCATTTAGCAAACACCTGGGCATGAGCTTACAATGATCATCCTCCCTGACCCCTGTGCACAGCCTGGAAGAAAATGCCAAAGGGAAAAGGGGGGAAAAATGCATGACCTTGGTTTTCTTTTTTCCTTTTTTTTTTTTTAAAATCTCTCTCTTTCTGGTTTTGTTAAAAAAAAAAAAAAAAAAAAAAAAAAAAAAAAAGCTAAGCTCTGAGTTAGCCAGACCACTTTGTCTTCATTTCCAAGGCCAGGAAACTGAGGCTCAGGGACAATGAGTCACCTGGGATCTGAAGACCAGGGGTTCTTTCCTTTACACCAGCATTTTTCAAAGTGTGGTCCTAGGACCAGCAGCATCAGCATCAGCTACCTGCGAACGCATGAGAAATGCAAATTTTTCAGGTTGCACCCCAGACTCACTGAATCAGAAACTCTGGTGTTGGGGCCCCACATTCTGGGTTTTAACAAGCTCTCTTTGTGATTCTGAGGTAGCTAAAGATTGAGAACTACTGCTTTACCAACATTTATAGCTCATAGTTCAGAACGAAATCCAGTTGTGAATCCATATATTTAGAATTTTTGCTGCCTTACATTATGGATGGTTTTGAAAGCAATTTTATTTTGACCTTGAAGAAATCCATTGCAAAAGTAAGATGCCAGAAGACTTTTAGAAATCTAATCAGCCGTGTAGCTTGTGATATGCTGGCAGTTGGAGCCTGGCACAGAACAGCAGGTTGCTGCATTAAGTGCAAAGGTGTGGATGGGAGAGGATTTCCCATGTTCTCATCACTTCCTTCTTGAGCTCTGCCTCACTGGGGCCAAGCTAATGGAGTCCTTCCCAGCTGTCAAAGCATAATAAACCTTGTTAGAGTTGCCCTCATGCTAGAGCCTCTTAGTACCAAAGAAAAACCACACCAGCTTCCTCAGAGGTAAAATGACTGTGTAAGGTCACCCAGCTGCAGAGTGAGGTTGAGGGAGGGAATCTATGCAGCCCCTTTCAACACCAACCCTTAATGAATCTGACTGCCAGGTGGTTTTAGCAGATGCTTTAAACAGTATTTAAAACTGATCACTGGTCTTGTTTCCCCACAATGATTGCCAAGCAGCTCAGAAGAAAATCCCCCAAAAATCAAAGGACAACCTTGAAATATTTCCTTCTAATTTTTGAAGTCTGGGGTTTGTTACATTTTTTATTTTCTGTTAATTCTTTCAAGTAGGCTCCATGCCCACATGGAGCCCAACACGGGGTTTGAACTCATCACCATGAGATCGAGAGCTAAACTGAGATCACTTGACAGACTGAGCCACCCAGGGGCCCCAAAGTCCAGTGTATTTTTAAAAAATGATTTCAAGATTTTTTTTCAGCAGTAAAGTGATAAAATGGTATTATAAAAATATTTACATAATCCTTCAGTTTTCAGAGCAAAGACTGAGTGATGTTCAATTAACCCACTGTGGGTATGTAGCCTCATTGCTCTCTGTCTTTCTGAGTCTGAATTTACTGATAGGGTTGACCTCCTCCCTGGCTTCACCTTCCTGCCTACACTCTGTTCAGTCTTTGCTCCATTTCACTGTGGTTTCTTTCCAGCGATTATCAGCAACTGCCTCATCCACAGTCCCCTGGATTATAGTCCTCCTCTGTCCTTCGCTCTTGTGTTTTTCTTTCTCATGATTCCTTCCCTGTCTCCTTGTGGAGTCCATGCCCTTTTTCTGGCTCCTGACCATTGGTGATCTCCCAACCCTTTGGATCTCAGCCCGTGCTCTTCGGGATGACCCATCGGAGCATCCCATTATCTCAAGTGTGTATCAGTCCTGCTCTGAGTTCTTTTTGAGCCTCAGACTGGAATATCCAACTCTTTGCAGAACTTCTCTTACAAGTATTTCAAACGCCACATGGCCCAAACTGAATGCACCTTCGCCTCTCCAAAAGCTGCTTTTTCAATTATTTTAGAGTAGACACATACACCGCATTATCCAGTTACACACTGCATTATCCAGTTACACACACCAGGAACTAAGGAGGTGTTTTGCACAATGCCAAATCTCAGAAGCATCACCTCCATAACATACACACGTACCACAAACACACAGCACACACATGCTTTCTCTCTTACGCACATGTGAGTGCACACAGATGCACAACTGCATACCTGCTTTCTCTCTTACACACGTTATACACACACACACACACACACACATACACATATACCATAGGCAAAGACCAAACCCTGTGAATTTTGCCACCATGTCTTCCCCTCCTTTACAACCCTGCTACCATTGTTCTTGAGCTAAGTCCCTAGTCATTGCTCACCCAACTACTGACAGTTTCCTGACTGTTCTTTTCCCTTCCTTTAAATCCATGCTCCCATTCTAGCCAGAGAAATTTCTCTAAAATGCAAGGCAACCACAGTTCTCTCACTTTGTACATCTCACATCTCCTCTTGCTTGTAGAAAAGGCCCACACTCTCAAGCACAGCCAGCAAAATCCTCCCTGACCTGTTTCTGCAGACTCTTTATCGGTTTCCACAAGAAATACCTCACCAATGAGTACCCTAAAATCCTCAAATATTTTATTGAATTTCCAGACACAATTAATGTCAATAAAAGGCTATTAATTAAAGAAAAAAACTTTAGTAGGAATATGATTCATGCAACAGCGATTTGGAAGTCTTAACAAACTCTCTTGCTGTTCCAATGCCATAAGTAACTGAAGACAATGGTAAGAGAGCGTATGAGAAAAAATTAAATTGAATTAAATTTTTAAAAATAAAATAAACAAAATCTTAAAAAAAGAGAGAGAGTGTGCATGTAACTATAAGAAAAAATTAGGGAATCGTTTACACACCCACGTGGATATATGATAATTTATTTAACCAAACCCCTATTGATGGAAATAAAGGTAGTTGCTAATCTTTACAACCTACATTATTAAAATATCAGTCTGTCTGTCTCTAGGATTAGAAGAAGAGTAAGAGTCAAAATGGGAAGACCAGTTAGAACAATAGAGCAGTGACTGAGACCAGCTGGTGTCAGTGAAGATGGAGAAGAGAGATATTTAGGGACCTAGAGGCCATAGCCTTAGAGAATTTAACATTGTAAGAGAAAGTGCAAAAAAAACTAATAATTCCAGTGCATTGATTCACTTGACACATATGGACTGTCCATCCACTGTATTTAAGATTTTTCACCCATTATATTCTGTCAAGCCCTGAAGACCAAATGTGTAATAAACTTTTGGCCACTTCCTGTCCTCATGAACTTTCAGCCCCAAAAGGAATGCTAGGTGAATATTTCAGAGGATCTAAACCAGCCTGGGACATTTGGCCTGGGTTGTCAGTAAGCAATGTGCTAAGCAGTGGACAGGAAAGTCACTGAATCCATACTTCTTCAAATGCAACCCTCACCAAAGCAGTAATTTGTCAGAGCCCACCTGAAACCTCCTAAATGAGAAATGGGGACTAAGAAGAGCCCAACGATATGGGTTTTAACAAATCCTTAGGGTCGGACTTCCATAGCTATAGTTTGGGAGCCACTGCCTAGAAACCCAAAACATGTGGGAGCAAATTTCCCTGGTGGTGCTGGTCTAGAGAGGCTTAAGGAGAGTGAGAGTTCCCCAGAAGGACAAGGAAAGCTGGAGGGGAACATTCCAGGAAGTCCAGGTATTTGTGCTCCCTGAGCTAGCTTACAGCACCTCCACCCTCACATTTTCTTAACAGAGTTAGAACAAAACTGGGGGAAATGATGTATGCACAAAGTTATTCATTGCATTTTTGCAAACAATTTAAGTGACCAGCTGATGACTTCTCGAATAAACTCTGAGTCATAAATGTAAATGAATACTATCCTTCTGTTTATCAGGAGAGAGTTTTAGAGATGAACTTCAGAATATAGTGCTAAATACAAAAGGCAAGGTACCCAATCATGTGTATATCATGCAACTTTTGGGGTGAACAAATGTAAATTTATGTGCTGCAGAGATGCACAAGAAAGTGAGAACAGGAAATTGGCTCTTGGGTGGAGAATTTAAGGTGGAAGAAAAGGATGGGAAGTAGGTCTTCACTGGATGCCACTTTGTACCTTTTAAATTTCATTCTATGTGCATAGATTACCAACTCAAAGAAATAGATGCCCCTTTCTTAATGCAAGAACAAGGAGTGGGGAGGGAGAAAACATCTGCTCTGAAAGCCTTCCTGGCCCTCAAGAAGGTTTCCCCCTCCTCATCCTCACCTAACACCTTTTGGGGAAATTCACAGGGTGGGGGATATGACAGGGAGGGGTGCTCAGTGTTATAATTATTGTTTTCAGTACCTATTTTGTTCTAACAGGATGTGCTGTTGGGGTCAAGGCCCCTGGCCAAAGTCATAGAAGAGTAGCTGTTTGCGGTACTCCCTCTGAGTTCCTGGTATTTGGGAAATGGTCACCTCACAGCATCAGCAGGGGTGGGAGAGTTGGGGGAGGGCCCAAACCACCACAGTGGTGGGAAGGGGGGGGCCACAGGGGTTCCATTCAGAAAAAGAACAATTGTTGGTTTCAGGCAGCTGAAGTAAGGGCAGAAGGGAAATGAGGTGGCTTAGCCTATTAGAGGGGACAACACTAACCCTTGCCTCTAGCCAAAAAAGGAAACAAGTAGGTACAGAAGAAGTGGGCTTTAGCGCAAAATGCTTCTTCCTTCAGCAGCCTTCAGCAGTCTCAAAAAAGATTATCTCCCCATCTCTTGTCCAGCTTACCTTCCCCACTTTCCCAGGAGGTAGGGGACCTCACTGTGATGAAGTGCCCAATATACACCCAATATTTCTGTTTTTGTTAGCACATTGAATTTTCTCCAAACCCTTCTAGGAAAACACCCCACTGAAGTCAGAGGAGCAATGTAACTTGCCCAAACCTTGCTATGGTGTCAGGATTAGAACCCAGTTCTTCTGACTCCAAGATCTCTGCTACACTGATTTTAGGCTACATCATACTAGGGAAAGACCCCTTCGCAGACTCTGAAATAATTCATCATAGACCCAGCCATGTGGATCCAGACTCAGACCCCTGGTCTGTTTGAAACTATAATGGAAAGCAACAGAGAGCACTGTGATACTTGCAAGAAGATAGAAGGATTAAACAAGGAGATCTTGTTGAAGACAAAAAGAGGATTCCTGGGATTGATTTATCTACTAGGGTAATCATGGTTTGTGACTTCTTCTGTAAAAATACTGGTTTATCAAGTTCCATGTGCTTGATGACCATCTATTGCCCATCTATCACAAGAGTTTTCTACTTGCATGTGACCCAGTAGCCAGGCCCACTCTATTCCCAAGCTCCATGAATACTGTCAAGATAAAATCTTGTTTGGAAGGGATATGACCTTCTCTGGAG